AATCAGCACCATGGACAGTGGAGAAATCTGTCAAGCAGAGACTTCCAGGTAGGTCAGCAGGGAAGCTGATACTTCTTTCAGTAAATGTTGACTGGAATTATATTTGATTTTTACTTTGAGTTTCTTTCAGAAGGACAGCGAGTGAGACACAGACATTCTTTAGTCTCCATGTATACTTTTATTCTAGCAATTTGCCACCTTATCACTATAAATCTAGAAGTATATATGGGTCTTTTCATGATCCCAAACACTTGAATCACAACTGCCATCTCCCAAGATACATTTCTACAGGGTTGTATTTGAAGCAAGAGTAGCCAGGAAAGACAAACCAGTGCTGAGATTAGATTAAGCTAAACAATCCTTATTTAAAATTTATACCATATTTTCTCTCATATCCCACTTTAAGTTAAATATGCAATGTCACATAAATGAAATTTTTGGTTAAAAAATGGTATTATGTTAAGGCATTATTAGATGAGATGTAACGCCTATTTAATAATGTTCATAAATGTCCACATTTTACTAATATGAAAATACGCTGTATCTAGAATAGCCACAAATCTTATTGACTTCACTTGACGTTTTGAAAAGAAACATTTAGATGTGATTCATACATATGGTTACTCTTTTCCTCATTTCAGATCCCCATGGAAAGAATGAGCATCTTGGAGCTAATCAGAACGGTCAAGAAATAATCTTATGGTAAGTTGTAATCGGAAAAATTATAGAACAACAAATGAGAGCTGCATTGCCACAAAGATGCTTAGCATTATCTCTAGCCATAATTACAGCACAATATGAAAGAGAAATTGTACAAAAATGATACTTGACAAATAGGATTTCATTCTTCTACTTTTTTTTTTTATTTGCCAACAGTAATTTTATTTGCCAAGTGACCAAGTGAATGTAGAAAGCAGAGGGAATGAAATGGCATTTCTTGGCAGAGAGCCAGAAGATGGAAATGGCAAAATTTTTCAGAAGGGTCTCAGATTTTTAAGTGTCCCCTGAGCATTCCTTGTCTGTACAGAGACCTGTGGTTAAGACACTTCCCATTGGTTGTCTCTCAACCAGCAAGGGAATAGCTGCTAATACACAGCTTCAAGCACCTGCCATTCTATGGCTGTTCAGCTGTCAGAGGTAGGAAGCCACATTAGTGACAAACTCTGGTGTAACCGGCTTTTTCTGAACTCATGTATGAAGTGTAGATGGGGTCGTCCACATAAGTCATTTCTAAAGATCAAACCTGAGAGAATGGCATGATAGCCTATTGGCTGGCCCTCGCCTTGCATGCAGTGGGATCATATATGGACACTGGTTTGTGCCCTGGCAGCCCCACTTAACATCCAGCTCTCTGCCCATTTCAGGAGTCCAGCTTAGCCATGTTCAGAACTTGAGAAGGACGTGTGGAGTATGCATAAAAAATAAATGGACCACTACAGTTTCAGGATCATAATGGGCAGTGCAAGAAAGCTGTCCTCTTTATTTTTACAGAAGCCTTCACAAATTCTGGCACCTATTTTTCACACCTGGTCAAGTGGACATTCCTAAGGATAGTTCTACTAATTGTTTCCCTTGAGGCATGATGTCAGCTGTCCTAATCCTGTGGTCAGGAAATTCCTAAAATATGGCATATGTCAATCAGTAACACATTCCTATTACAATTCTGATGCTACAACTTAGTCTTGATTCAGTTTAAGGAGGAAGTGCATCACAGAAGGAGGGACCTAAAGATTAATGAAAGAAGAAAAGAATAGATTTCCACTACACTCAGGGACTTAACATCCTTGATTAGCATATGGTCAATGTTGGAGGACAACCCTAAGCATAGTTTCCGGTTAGGTGTAGGGACTTTACACCCTTGATTTTCATATGATCAGAGGGACAGCTGAGGGAGCAGGAATAGTAAAAGGCCCTTTTGCTAAGACATTATCACCAACGTCAATTTCCAAGCTCACATTGATAGTAAAAACAACTCCACCATGGCAGACAATGCCTAAATAGATTACAGAAATCTCTGTGGGGGTGTGCAGTGTCTATCCAAAGGGAGGTGGAACTGCTTTTCAGGTGGGTGTAGTGACATTCAGCTGGGCCTTGCCATGCAGTAGGAAATTCCTTGCAGCCTTGCCTGCAATGGGAAAGTTCTCTTCACACCTTTGTGTCTTTCACAACCCCTGCATGGACCTCAGCAGCCTGTGGCCTGGGAAAGCTGTTGAGGACACCCCACATGCTTATGACTATACACCAGCATGAGAGACCCAGAAGAAGCTGCTAGTATTTGGCTTTGAAGCAGCTCAGCTCTGGCAGTTGTGGATTTTTGGGAAGTGAATCAGCACATGGATGATCTTCCTATGTGTCTCACATCCTCTCTGTATATCTGAATTTCCAGTAAATATAAATACATCTTAACAATAAAAACTCAAAACAAAATGAATATTTGGTGGTGCCTGGACTCTCATCCCTCCTCCAATGAGGATAAACCTATGTGAAGCATGAAGAAGGAGCCCTGAATTTTGGTCCCTTGTCAGGTAGTAGGGATTCAGGGTCCACTGAAGGAGTTTGAAGTCACGCAGAATATTGTCCTCTTGTGTCAATCCTCCAACAGTTTTTTAAGGATGAGGACCCAGAGACTTACTTCTAAAATAAAAATTGACGTGATAGCAAAAGTGAAAATAGATAGTTGGTGATTAAAGCCTCTAAAATCTTAAACTGTTATTTTTCTTATCTCCACCCTCACCCTCCCCCACCCCACCTCCTAAAAACACAATCCATGTGGAGGTTTAGCTGGAGCTAGACAGTGACTGGAGGTTACTGGGTGGGTGTGTTTGTGTTTGCGTAGAGGCATGGGGTGCCAAGGGTCATTTACACAGGTTTAGTACAAACCTTGTGGAGTCTTCTCTTTGCTAAGTCCAGCCTCATAGCTCTTGTGTAAGAGCCAGCAGTCTTTCTCAAGTCCAATTTTGTGCACCAAACCAGGAAAGCTTAGTGATTCCTTAATTTAGTATAAAAAAGTAGGAGTATGGAATAGGGTGGAAGGATGGGATTCACAGGAATTGGGAGAAAACAGAGGAGTGGGTCCTTTTCTCCAATTACACATCCTGTTTCAGTAACCAAGGGTTGGAACAACAATCAAGAGTTACTAACTGGGTGTCCCTAATTTCAAGAAGCACACCACCACCTAGTTTTCTCTCGAGAAGTGTTTTCCTCTTCCCTCCTCTTCCCCTGCTCTCGTGTCTACTTTGTAAATAAAACTTCTCTGTCTCCAAAAAGATAAGTTAAAACAATGACTTTGAGATCCAGTTTCGGTATCCACCTCTTGAATGTGATCAACAGGTATTTAGTAGAAACTACACATTTTCTCTGTTCTCACGTACACTTGCTGTTCCTGGGAGGACCCGAGCCAGATTGGAGTCCATGCTTGGGACCCCAGGTTCAGCCACTATGACCATGGGATGAGATGATCCTTGGCCTGCCTAGGCTCAAAAGGCTTCACACTTCCTGGTCAGTACACTGAGAGCAGATACCTTGGAAACAAGGCAGGCCTAGGCTCCACCCACCTCCAATATCTGAGGTGGGTGGGACTGGGGTTATGCGACTTAATCATTGTTTCATGAGTTGGGTTTCTGTGTATTGTGTGTATGTGTATGTGTGTGATTTAATTGCACTCAATGTTTGTGTGTGTGCGCGTGTATTGGATCATTAAAGAGAAATTGGTGTGATCATATTTGAATTTTCTATTTTCCCTCCTGTTTTAGGTCAGGGTTAAATGATATTCAGAGATGCTATACCAGGCCTCCCAACCATCCTAGTACCTAAGGATGGGTACTGGACCCCTTAGACCAAACCAGGGTGTCAATGTAGCACACCAAGGTTTCTGTCCAGGTGATTCTGATAGTTCTGAAATGAGGTCCATCTAACTGATTCAAGCAAGAGGGAACCCTTTCAATGTTCATTGGCCAACATGTTTGACCTTAGAGTCTCCTTTCACCCAGATACTTGCTGTCATCATTTGGCTGGGGTAGTTATTCAATCTGTTCTCTCCTCCTTTCTCTTGGATGGTCCTGATGTGCCCTCCAGGCCTCAGTGGGCTTTCATCTCCAGGTGGATCCGAGCCAGTTGTCCAATACTCCTTTTCAACTGAGTAGTACCAGTTCTTACAACACCTGAGCCAGCTGATCCTGCCCCAGTGGAGCCCCACCCTCAGCACTCACTGAGCTAGCACCACCATGCTTGCATGTAAAGATTCCAAGCCAGGTGACCTGAGGCCAGCCACACTTTCTAATTCCAGGACTCACAGTCCCACGGCCCATTGCACTGGGTTTCAAGGACCCAGGCCAGGCAACACCAACCACCACAACTATGCCTAAAGGGCCAGACAAAGCTACCAGGGTCCCACTGGATCTCCTGGATGCAGGGATCATGTGTCCTGCACTAACATCCCCGACTACCGTGGCTTGCCTCAACTCATTTTCCACCAGCATGTGTTGCAGCCTGGCTCAGTCTAGTCTTTCCGCAATTCTACTTCATGTTCCTATGTGTTGTGGCCCATCCAAGTACAATCCATGTGGAGGTTTAGCTGGAGCTAGGCAGTGGCTGGGGATTATGTCAGTGGGTTGGTGTGTTCATGTTTTTTCAGAGGCATGTGGTATCAAGGGTCATTTACACAGGTTCAGTACAAAACATGTGGAGTCTTCTCTTTGCTAAGTGTACCTTCATAGGTCTTGTATAAGAGCCCATAATTTTTTTCATTCCAGAGTGTACACCAAACCAAATGTTATCAGGAATGCTCAATGAATCTTTCCTTTAGCATAGTATAGAAACAGAAAATGGAAACCAGTTGCAGAGCAAACTTTTATTTGTTAAATGACCAGTGGAACTTGAAAGAGGTTAAGGGGAAAGCAACTCCCAGAAGCGGCTCAGAGATTTTGTGCCTTTTGAAAGGAGAGAAGAAATGGCATAATTTTATATTTTAAATACTCTTATCCCACAGGAAGTGTGAAGAAATGCCATTTGAAAAGAAACATGCCTCTAATGTCCCTAAGAACAACCTCGAGGGTGAGGAAAATCTCAGTCATCTTGACAAGATCCACATTTGTCAGCAGTCCTTTGAACACAATGGGAAAGAGAAGACTTTCAGTGGGAAGAAGACAGTCCTTATGTGTGAGCATGTTTGTACCAAAGACCCATGTAATCAGCAACCTGTCAGTGTGCGAGAAGCAATTCATGTTGGCTACTATAAATCTTGCCTTAGCACCAAACAGAGAACTGACACAGGAGATAATTTGTATGTGTCTAGTGAATGTAAAGAAAACATGTACCAGAAATCAGAACTCATTAGAGATCAGATCCTTCAAAATGCAGAGAATCCGTATGAATGCAATGAGTGGGGAAAAGCCTTTCATCAGCAATTATCTCTCATTGGGCATCAGAGAACCCACACAAGAAAAAATTCTTATGAATGTAGTGAGTGTGGAAACGTGTTTTCTTATAAGTCAAACCTAATCATACATCAGATGGTCCACACAGGGGAGAAAACTTATGCATGTAGTGAGTGTGGAAAAGCTTTTCTTAATAAGTCAAGCATTAGATCACATCAGAGAATCCACACAGGGGTAAAACCTTATGACTGTAGTGAGTGCGGGAAATGCTTTTCTCATAAGCCCAATCTGCTTGCACATCAGAGAATCCACACTGGGGAAAAGCCTTATCAATGTAATGAGTGTGGAAAAGCTTTTATTCAAAAGTCACACCTCATTAAGCATCAGAGAATCCACACTGGGGAGAAACCTTATTTATGTAGTGAGTGTGGAAAAATGTTTTCTGATAAGTCAAGCATAAGATCACATCAGAGAATCCATACCGGGGAAAAACCTTATGAATGTACTGAGTGTGGAAAAGCTTTTATTCAAAAGTCACAACTCATAAGGCATCAGAGAATCCACACTGGGGAAAAACCTTATGAATGTAGTGTGTGGAAAAGGCTTTCCTTGTAAGCCACCGCTCATTAGACATCAGAGAATCCACACTGGGGAAAAGCCTTATGAATGTACTGAGTGTGGAAAAGCTTTAAGTCAGAAGTCACACCTGATAAGGCATCAGAGAATCCACACTGGGGAAAAACCTTATTTATGTGGTGAGTGTGGAAAAACATTTTCTGATAAGTCAAGCATAAGGTAACATCAGAGGATCCACTCTGGGGAAAACCTTATGAATGTACTGAGTGAGGAAATGCTTTTACTCAGAAGTCACAACTAATTAGACATCTGAGAATCCACACTGGGGAAAAACCTTATGCATGTAGTGAGAGTGAAAAGCTTTTCCTGATAAGTCAAGCATTAGATCACATCAGAGAATCCACAACAGGGAAAACCATATGGATTACTGAGTGTGGAAAATCTTTTACTCAGAAGTAAAATCTTATCAGACATCAGAGGGTCCACACAGGGGAGAAACCTTATGAATGTAAGGTGTATTTTGAAGCCTTTACTTTCTTGTCAGGTTTCATTCAACATCAGAGAATCCACACAGGATTAGGACCTCATGAATGTAATGAGTGGAAAATGCTGTTGCAAGCAACTGAGCTTCACTAAACATCAGAATCAACATGGGAAAAGTATTGATGTATTATATGTGTGTTAAAATTGATACACAAACATTTTGAGCACAGTAGAAAGCATACCTCAACATTTAACATATTCACAGAGATGAGCAAACTCACTGCCTTGAATGAAAAATCATTTTTCTGAAGTCAATTGTTGCCAGAGTCATGTAGCTCAGAACTACAAAAGCATGTAAAAAGAAAAACCAACTATCATAAACCTGTCAATGCTTACAAAGTGAATGAAAACACAACCATTAGCAGGAGTACAAATACAAAATATTGTAAAAGGGTAATGGACGTGGAAACATACTTTTAAAGTCTGCAAGTGTTTAATAAACATGAGGACTTTCACTTTATTTCAGAAGACAGGTTATTTGTTGCTAAAATAATTAAGCATCAATTTGTCTATGATCTCCCTTTGTTTTGAGGTGGGAAATGTGAATGCTGCTTTCAGATTTAATGTTGGTAATAAATGTTCAGTGTGTAACACTTGTTTTACATGCCAATTTTGTCATTTACACATTTATCTAATAGAGCTTTTTAAGAACCTCAAAATTTTGCATCCTATTATAGAATTATAGTGGAATCACAGGTATCAACTGATGCATGTGGCAGTTGTAATGATAAAGACCCAGATTTGAAGGATGAATCTTCTCCAGAGGCAAGATTCTGTTGTGGTATTTTGCTGAATATAGATCCTGTTTGGCCACTGTCTCTCCTTGAATAATCACTACGTGAGATCAGCCCTGGATCTCTGCCTCCTTATCCCATGCAGCATGCCATAAGTTTGTATTTGGTTTATTTCCTAACTTTATTTTGATTATTTGTTTTTTCCTAGTAATCTTGAGAATGCTTTGCCTTTGTTTGTCTATTTTCTTCAACTGAAAGATTAACTGACTTACTTGATGCTTTCCAGTTTCTTAACACAAGCACTGAGATGGACATTGCTCTTTCCATTGCCTTGATTGTTTCCTGTAAGTTTTGAAATTTTGTGTTGATGCCTTCATTTGTTTCAGGCCTTTTAAAATGTTCCCTTTGATTTCCTCTCTAACCCATTGCTCATTTAGTAACATATTATTCAGTCTCCATGTGTTTGCATGTTTTTCTAAGATTTTTGGCTTCTGGGTCTTTCGCCTCACTCCATGATGGTCTGAGAAGATGCACAGTGTAATGGTGATTTTTTTAAAATGCGGTGATACTTGTTTTATGGCCTATAATATGGTCAATTGTCAATTTTGGCGACAGTTCCATGAACTGATAAAAAAAAAAAAGTGTATTCACTTCTTTGGAAGTAAAGGTTCAGTAGATATCGACTAAGCTCATTTACTTGAGAGTTTGGGTGAGTTGTGTTGCTGAGTTTCTGTTTTTTTTTTTTTTTTTTGTTTGTTTGTTTGTTTTGTTTTGTTTTTTAATCTGTCCATTGATGTTCATATGATATTAAAGACGCCCACTAGGATTGTATTGGAGTCTATTTCTCCCTTTAAATCCATTAATGTTTGTTTCACACAACCAGATGGCTTGGCATGTGGTGCATATACATTTATTACAGTGATCTCTTCTTGGTGAATGGATCCTTTGTACATTGTATGGTATCCTTCTGCATCTCTTTTAATGTTTCTCACATTGATATCTGTACCATCTCTTATAAGAATGGCTACCCCTGCAAAATTTTCCTTACTATTCACTTGGGATATCTTTTTTCATCGTTTCACTTTCAGTTTCCTCTGGTCTTTGTTAGTGAGATGTGTCTCCTGTAAGCAGCAGATGGATGGGTTTTATTTTCTGATCCAGTCTTCCAATATATGGAATTTGACTGAAGTTTTTACATTGGTAACATTCAATGTTAATATGGATAGGTGGCAAATTCCTCCTGTCATCTTGGTAATGGGATGCCCTTTAATTTATTCTTCTTTTTGCCTGTTAGTTGGATGTTCTCCACTTTTGCCTTTGGTTTTGGTTCTTCTTCTCTTTCACTAGAACATCTTTGAATATCAGTTGTAGGGCAGGTTTGGAAGATTTGAATATTTGGAGTTTTTCTTTGCTGTGGAATAATTTTATTTCATTTTTCAAAGGCAAAGGAGAGCTTTGTAGGATACGTTATTCTGGGCTGACATTTATTTCCCTTTTAGAATTTGGAATATATCACTCCATTATCTCCTTGACTGTGGTGTTTCCTCTGAGAGGTCAGCTGTAAGTTTGATTGGAATTCCTCTATAGGTTACTTGATATTTCTCACGTGCACATCTAAGGCTTTTTTTTTTTTTCCTTATGTTCAACTGAGGAGAGCTTGATTATCATGTATCATGGTAATCAACTCTGTTAAGAGTACTGTGCCCCTTCTGGGTGTTGTTTCCCAATCCTTTCTCCAGATTAGGAAAGTTTTCAATTATTATCTCAATGAAAAACCCTTTAATCCCAATTTCTCTGCATCTTCTGGAACTCCCATAATTCTTATGTTATACCTTTTAGTTGTATTCTTAAATTCTTGGATACTTTCATTTTTTTTTTTTTTTGTTACCTTGACCTGGCTCTATTCCAGCTTTTTTTTTGTTTGCTTGTTTGTTTGTTTCCCCTGGTGACAGGAAATATCTTCCAATTCTTGCTGCAGTGGGTTTTAACTTCTGAAATTCACCTTTCATTTAATTCATTTCCTCTGTGACAAATTCTTTAAATTCTTTGAACTCTTGTGTCCAGCCTACCTTCACCTCTGTAGCTCTGGGAGCAGACCCAAGCTCCCACTTGGCTGTCGCAAGAGCTGATTCTGTGGCTACCGCTGGATCCCTGCGTATCGATGGAGTTTACATCCCAGCTCAACTGTGGCTGGTAGTTTTTCTGTTCCCTGTAACACCGCTCCACCACCGTCACTTCTTCCATGTGTTCAGGGTGTCTCCAGGTACCTACTTGTTCACTGCCTGACCCTTATGTTTTTCTGTAATCTGCTCTGCTCTTTGCCCTGTCCAATGTTTCTCTGTCACCTCGAACATGTCTGCACCCTTTGCCACATATGGCAGGTTTATTTGCAATTCTCCAAGCACATGCCATGCTGATTTCCACAGTGGTTGTTCCAGCCTATATTTCCACCTGCAGTGAAATGAGGGTGTCATTCTCCCCACATTCATGCCAGCAGACACTAAAATGAAGTTCTGAATTTAGGACAGTCATACTGGAGTTAGGTGGTACCTCAATGTGGTTTTCATTTGTATCTCTCTGGTGGTTAGGGAATCTGAGCAACTTTTATTATGTTTGCCAGCCATTTGGATCTGTTCTTTTGCACAATGTCTGTTCATTTGCATTGCCCATTTTTTTTTCAAAATTTATTTATTTATTTTACTGTCCCTGGGTTTCAGAAGCTCTTTGTAAATCCTGGATATTAGTCCCCTATCACTTGTGTAGTGTACTCAATTTTTCTCCCATTCTTTTGGTTGCTTCTTCACCAGCAGGTAAGTAACCCTATGGGGTGCAACACACCAGCCAGGCATTCCCTGTCCAGGTATGCTCAAACAAATACTCCACACCGTGCACAGTCCACTCCTGGGCCAAGAGGGCTTAGCTGGTACCCTCATGCACCCCAGCATACACACAAAGTACTCCAGCACCTAGGGGTTACAACAGTGAGCCAAGGGCCCAAGGTGCCTACCAAAAGCTATTCCAGGGCCAAGCTCAACAACACAGTGCACTCTGTGTCTGTTGTCCACGTGATATCTGCTTCATAGCCAAGACAGCCTGGGCAGTGTCCCTGCTCCGACAGCGCTATAGTCATCTATCCCAGGGTCAGACTGAATTGCACTTGAGGAGAAAGTATTCCTCTAATATGAACCCTCCATTGTTGCACTTACCTATCCATGTACAGGCTCATTGAGCCATCAATAGATTGCCTCTAGTTTATGAGTACAGGCACACTGTCCGCTTCCAATACTTGAAAACCAGTCCACCTCAAGCAGTGATATTGCTCCTTCAAAAGGCAGTGTTGTCACCAGCGAATCCCAGGCTGGGTCCTTTCTGCTGGTAACCCTGAGGCTAGAGCCTGCATGCATTGAGTCCTAAATCTCACAACATGCAAACCATGTCACCTCACTACTGATTAAAAAGAGGGATGTCCTGCCTGCAAGCTATTCCAGGGCCAGGCCAGGTCACAACCCAAACACTCACCTGTAGCCTGAAATCGCAACAGCATTTACACTACTCCAAGGCAAGGCAAGTTAGATTTGCAAGAAATTAAAGCAAAACACTGCAAGAACATCATTTTCTAGTGTACAAAGCAGAATTTCAAATAGTTAGCATAGAATAAAAAAAAAAATGATACCTGCCCTAGCAGCAGAATGGAATTATAAAGGAGGAAAGATGGCCCAAAAAATGGTGGAAATGATGTGTTTTTACACATTATCTTAGGGAGGCGAAATAAAAAGAAACTGCCATTCTAGCAGAGCAGAGGGACAGAAAGCAGAAAAGAAAAGACACATTGCAGAACCAAGATTCCAAAATGCAATGGTTGATTATGGTGATAGGTGTGAAACATGGCAAGATCTACTCAAATTGCTAGAGACCCAAGAAGGATGCTTTTTTTTGATCAGTCAGAATCTGATCAAGCTTGACTGC